TTATTATGAATACAGAGGAGAGTCTTTGAAATAATGCAAATTAAATGTTAACATCAGATTTTTATTACAGATCAAATATATTGTTACTTGTAAGTCCACCTAAAGATGGCTGATAGGTAAATGAAAATAGTGACAATGACACCAGTTAAGAGAACAGTGATGAGACATGTATCAGAAAGGTGGCAGAATCAGAGAAAGAAAGAAATAGATTAAAGAAGTAAAATTGACAAGATGTCAATTTAGGAAACTACATGGATAGTTTCTAAACATAGGAAAACAGGTATAGCAAGGAAGATTATTGGCGTGCTAAGTCTGAACTGTCTTTGGTATGTACAGGTAAAATATTCATAGGATTTTGACTTTTAGATTTGGAGAGGAAATTAAACTGAGGCTAATAGATTTGGTATCATGGGCCTAACTGAAAGTCATCAAAGGTATGAGATAGTATGATATAGTAAATACTAGCTAACTTGTTAATAAGGCTCATTGATTATTTTTGAAATTTTATGATTTTTAGGTAGAATTTTGCTTCTCCTTATCTTAAAAACATTTTTGAATTAAGTATGATTTCTGTTTAAAACACTAGCACTAAGTAATTCTTCACATCTTTTTGAATCTCACTTCCCTCTGCCATATCTAGTACATGAATGCTGCCTTCGTTCTGCTCTGTACCGACAGTGTCTTTCTTGCAGCAGGAATACTGTTTCAGTCCAGCTCACAAAGACTTTGCATAAATGAACACATCCACCCTCTGACGGGAAAACAACTTTTAAAACAGTGTTAGAAAGTCAAAAGAGCATGTATCTTCTGTAATATCTCAGAGCTGAACTAACAAATGCCCTTCAGGGAAAAGTAGTACTACTTTACAATTGATTATAGAGAGTATAGAAATAAATTGGTATGGCAAATGGTATGGTGTGATAAGCTATAGTGAATGAGGTGAAATTTTTCTGCTCACCATAGCTTTGGAATATGTTTTACTGCTTGCTGTCAATTACAGTTAGAAAACTCAGCAGCATGTCCATAGAATTTTGAGGAAGATGAGCCAGAATTGTTTGTGTAAAATTTCAGTTAATTTTTTCTGAATACATTTATGACCATCCTGTCCAGGCTGAATTTTAACAGTTAACTTGAATATATATCCCCAGTTGGACAAGCATTCTGAGGTTGTATGGGAATGTTTCATGATGGTAAATTTGAGAAATGGTACCAGGGGCATATTAAGAGAAAAATAGACTAAGAAGATATATTATTGAATTCTGTCCATTAATTTTGTTGTCCTGGATACTTTGCAATCTTCCTAGAGAGTCTTACTTTCAAGGTGCACTTTTATTGATAAAGAAATAATTACTTTTAGGCATTTAAAGTATATTTTAAGCTTAATCAGGTAATACATTTTTAGAGCCACTAAAAATTCACTTCATCCTTCAGAATTTGTTTAAAAATATATTAATTTACATTTCAATTCAATATGTAAACATTCTGCTTTATGAGATATTTTGGTTTTGGGTTTTTCCTCCACTGGCTTGTCCTTCTTAAAGGAGTATAACTGGTTTTGTAAGTGGGTATTTTAGCTATACTCCAATATCCATTACTACCAGGTGTGGAATTTCCACCATCCTATCAGAAAACACAGTGAGAAAGAATAGCTAAAAATACCCTGGAAAGAAATACATGGATAAAGGAAGGTAGTGGGCACACACAAAAAACAAATTCTGTCTGTAAAAAGACAGAAGCAGAACTGAGAAATGTAATTTTGATTTTTCATCTTTTTACCTGGTTATTCAGGATTTGAAAATTCAAAGGGCAGGGTAAAATCTAGTGATTATTTAGTGGAAAAATGATTTCTCTACTGTTTTTTAGGCTTAAGGTTAGCTGTAAATGTTTGCTTATGGTTTAGACTAATTCAGGCTCAGTTCAAGTTTTAAACGGTGATATGACAATGGTAGTGAAGATACTAAGATATCCAAACTCTTCAGCATTGACCGACTCCACTAATTCTACTTCCTCACAAGATCTTGGCAAAAAGAGAATGTAAATGGTTTACTGCCTTATACCTTTTTTTCTACACCAAATTTTATCTCCCTATTAACTCACACTTGAAAATATTAATAGTATACTGTTTGTGAGTGCTTCCATGGAGCAGCTATTTGAAGATGTTATTGCTGACTAATATAAAGAATATAACTGATGAAAGTTATTTTTAAGAGCTAATTTTAGTTATGCATCATTCACTTCTCTAGCTTTTTAACGTGAAAAGGGTAAGGAAGCACATCTGTCTTGTTACCAGGGTAGGACACTCTAGTACCAATCTGTCCATTTGCCTAAAAACAGAGTGGCTTATGGGGTTCTTGTGTTGTTGGATGATTCACAAAACATCTTTTTTTTTTTTACTTATTTGTTTGCACCCGTTTCATAAATACAACTCCAGGAACATAGTAATTCTTCCCACTGTACCTGCCCTCCCACCTACTTTCTCACCCCTCTTCCTGTTTCCTTTCCTGTTCCCTATCCCAACAAAACGTCTTTTATCAAAATATTTGATACACTGATCTTACATCAGTACATCTGAGTGAAGGCTTCGTGTCCATGAGCATAACCTATTGTTTTTACCACATGCAAATATTCATACTTACATGCTAAATTTAAAGTATAGAAAAGAAGAATAGGACAATAAATGTTTAAAATCAGATTGAAATCAAAAGTGAAGGAGAATTTTTTTATTCATCCAGTTTTTAAAAAAATAAGTTTAAGATAAATTTTAATGTAATACTTATATTACTTTTCAAGGAAAAGACCATTTCAGGCATGAAGAATATCATTGCTGAGATGGAGCAAGCATCAAGGTAAATCATTCATTCAACAAATATTTGAGAATTTACTGGAGGCAGAATACTATATTAGGTACAAAGATAGTAAAAAACAAGAGGTATAGTGTTAGGTATAAAGCAATAACTCTCTAATATTCAAAAAAATCCCCAATCTATAAATAAATAAAGCATAAAAAAGAAAAAGAAAACCTAAATCTATCTAGGGACATAAAAGACTGAAGAATTTCAAAGTAGAAAGAAAGGCAAAGAACCACAGAGAACTACAGATTTGTTCAAGAGCCTCTTGAACTACAAGGGAGGAAAGGCTAAGCAGACAGAGGCCTATGTTACAGAAAAATGAGTCTTGATTTTATCCTTTGGACAATAAAAAATCATTAAAGAATTCTGAAGAGACTGCCCAGGCAGAAGAGCTGTTGGTAAATTGGGGTTTAGGGATGAGAAAGGTCTTATGTAGGAGAGACTCTAGGACAATGTCGTGTTTCTGAATGGGGATGAATACTGAACACGACAGAAACATAATGAGAAACATAGTTTTTTTTGTTTTTTGTTTTTTGTTTTTTTGACAGGCATAGTTAGACAGTGAGAGAGAGACAGAGAGAAAGGTCTTCCTTCCATTGGTTCACCCCCCAAATGGCCGCTACGGCTGGTGCGCTGCGCCGATCTGAAGCCAGGAGCCAGGTGCTTCCTCCTGGTCTCCCATGTGGGTGCAGGGCCTTGGGCCATCCTCTGCTGCCTTCCTGGGCCACAGCAGAGAGCTGGACTGGAAGAGGAACAACCGGGACAGAATCCAGCGCCCTAACCGGGACTAGAACCCGGTGTGCCGGCGCCACAGGCGGAGGATTAGCCTAGTGAGCCGTGGTGCCAGCCGAGAAAGATAGTTTTACCTCTGAATTTGAGGAGCCTTTGACACTTGCTGAAAACCTGCCAAGTAAGCAGTTAAATCTGAGTCCGGAGTCTAACAGAAGGGCTAAGGCTGCAGACAATGACATCGGAGTCATCTGGGTATAGATGGGGTTAGGAACTATGAAAATGAATGCAATCTGATCAGAGAAGGGCCAGGAGGCTAAGATTTGAGTTCTGATAAATGTAGATTTTTTTTTTTTTATTTTTTGCCAGGCAGCCTTAGACAGAGAGAGAGAGAGTCAGAGAGTTAAAGACAGTGAGAGAGAGAGAGAGAGAGAGAGAGAGAGAGAGAGGTCTTCCTTCTGTTGGTTCACTCCCCTAATGGCCGCTACGGCCGGCGCTGCACCGATCTGAAGCCAGGAGCCGGGTACTTCCTCCCAGTCTCCCATGCAGGTGCAGGCACCCAAGCACTTGAGCCATTCTCCTTTGCCTTCCCGGGCCACAGCAGAGAGCCAGACTGGAAGAGGAACAACCGGGACTAGAACCCGGGGTGCCGGCACCGCAGGTGGAGGATTAGCCAAGTGACAGAGGAAGAGGACTCTGTAAAGGAAACGGAGCCATTCCATCTATAGGTGGGATGAATGCCTTCCTATACTTGAGTGTCAAAAGTTTTGAACTGCATAACAAGTTGTTGACTGCTATGTATATTTAGTATCCTCTTCATAGTGAGATGATGGCAACATAGATTGGAATGTACTGTATCAGCAGAATTTATTCCTGTGCACTTACATATATTAAAAACCTCCTCAAATGTTTTCATGCTAACTGTCCATCTTCTGTCTTGTGAGAATTTGTTATTCTGTTTCAGTAAAATGTCTCTTCTTATGTGCTATTTGATTTGTGGAATAGACAGTCTACTGAAGCCCTAATTATGTGTGAACAAGACATTTCCAGAATGCGCCGACAATTGGATGAAACAAATGATGAGCTGGCCCAAATTGCCAGGGAAAGAGATATCTTGGCTCATGACAATGACAATCTCCAAGAACAGTTTGCTAAAGCTAAACAAGAAAACCAGGTACACATGTTCCAAGGGTCTCATTCTCCAAGAATGCAGTTATTTCCTAGGCACAGCCCTCATTTTATTTTATAGGAAAACCTAGATGCAATTTCTAAATGAAATTCTCAGACCTAAGTATTAAATATTAAAAGAAGGAATGGAGACATAAAAGATTTGTTCTAAACATTTAAAAAGTACTTCCTTACTGAGGGGCCAGTATTTAAATAAATCAACAAGTGATGATAAAAACTTTTAGAACCTTAAAAAAGTGTTATACTTGTAGCATATATTTTAAAAATATTTATGATATCTTTAACATATAGGAATTTTTAAATATTTTATAGTCAAATCTAGCTGTCTTTTTTTCACCATAGGCACTGTCCAAAAAATTGAATGACACTCACAATGAACTTAATGACATAAAGCAGAAGGTCCAAGATACTAATTTGGAGGTTAACAAGCTGAAGAATATATTAAAATCTGAAGTATGTATACATTTTTTTCTCTTTGCTCATGATACCCAAGAGATTTCATAAGAGTTAATTTAGTAATCAATTATGCTCATTAAGACAGTTGAATCAGGTTTTCTTTTAATACATATCTTATATTTGTTTTGACAATGGTGTATTAACTGTATATTTAGAATGTCCCCAGTGTCCAGAAATACTTACGAATATGGGTCAAGCATTTGGTGCAGTGGTTAAGATGACAAGGATGTCTGCAATCCCATTTCAGAGTGCCTGGTTCCAGTCCCAGCTCTTCCACACTTATGACTCCAGCTTCTTGCTAATGCACACCTTAGGAGGCAGCAGGTGATTATTCAAGTAATTGGGTCTCTGCCACCTACGTGAGAGACCTGAATTGGGTTCCCAGCTGCTGACTTCTGCCTGACCCAGCCCCAGAGTATTTGAGGAATGAAGCAGTGGATGGAAGATCTCTGTATTTCTGTCTCTGTCTCTTTGTGTCTGCTTTCAAATAAATAAAAATTAAAATAAAGAAGAATATTCCCCTTTTACTTTGCTACTCAGCCAAACTAGACAATCAAAATCTTCCAAACTGATTGAAGGACAAAGGGTCAGAATTAACTTGCCTCACTTATATTTGAAAATGGAGTTTTCTATTACAGATCTCTAACAGAAGAGACTCTGCCTGACTGTGTAGAAGATCAGGACTGGTCACCCTGTTAGGGAGCCATCTGTTTCTTAGGACCATACGGCAGATGGCTCTTCTCTGCAATTGTCTGTTAGTGAACAGTGGACCAGACTTATGTATGTGACATCAGATGATTCCAAATAAGTGTGGGTGCGTGTGTGGCAACCCTGGAAGAAACAACCTGGCAAAGAATATTAGATGTGTTCATTACGTAAAATATCTAAAATAGTACAGGTGGATTTCTATGGTATGCTATTACCTACATACAACTTCAACCATTAATGGGAATAGTTTCCTTCCAAACTGTTTATTGTTTAATGTGTCATGTAGTATCAATTCACAAACATATCTTTTTAAAATTTTTAAACATTTTATTTGTAAGAGAGAGACACCTTCTATCTACTGATTTGCTTCCCAAATCCCTGCAGCAGCTGAGGCAGGGCCAGGCTGAAGCCAGAGGCCTGAAACTCAATCCAGATTTCCCATGTTGGTGACAGGGACCCAAGTTCTTGAGCCATCAACTGCTTCCATCCAGGGTAGGAAGGAAACTAGAATCAGAGGTGGAAAAGCCAAGACGAATCCAAGTATTCCAATATGGGTTGCAAATACCCCAAGAAGTGTCTTAACCGCTGCATTAAATGCCTGTCCTTACAAACATTTTAAACATTTATTGATAGTATACATACGACTATTAAGGGCTTTCAGGAATAAGAGATTGTAAGGACTTCAAAATTACGATCTATACTTTGAGGCAGTAAGGCAGCAGAGTTATGCAGGCAAAGCAGGTTGCTTCATATACTTCTTGATTTTAAGATGCCTCAGTGTAATATATAAAAGGATGGAGCCCTGGGAGTCAGACAGACATGGTTCCTCTTCTCACTAATGACATGGACTTACCTGGGCTATGCAATTCCTCTGAGTCTCCATTTCCATGTGCAATTGGGAAGAACATCCAAGTAAATGAGATACAGTATTTAAATAATTTTTAAAGTTTCATTTTTTAAAGATTTATTTATTTATTTGAAAGAGATTTTCAGAGAGAGAGAGATAGAGACAGAGAGAGAGGTCTTCCATCCTCTGGCTCACTCCCCAACTCGCCGCCAACAGCCGGAGCTGCACTAATCCGAAGCTGCACTAATCCGAAGCCAGGAGCCAGGAGCTTCCTCCAGGTCTCCCACGCAGGTGCAGGGGCCCAAGGACTTGGGCCATCTCTACTGCTCTCCCAGGCCATAGCAGAATGCCGGATTGGAAGAGGACCAGCCAGGACTAGAACCAGCGCCTACATGGGATGCCAGCGCTTCAGGCCAGGGCTTTAACTTGATTCGCCACAGCGCCAGCCCCAAGAGATACAGTATGCAAAAGACTGAGCACAAAGAACCATCTAAATCTATTCTGAATTAGGTCAGAAATAAATAAGTGAATATCTGAAACAACATAAGCTTTCAGCCTGTGTTAGACAATTCCCTTGTCTCTCTAGTCTGTCAGTCATATTACCTGAAAGTTTACCTTTAGGAATTGGAGCTTTTAGAAGCTAGAATTATGTTTTTAGACATTACACATCAAGCTTCTCTAAAGTATCTGGCATGAATTTGTTTTTGAGATTGGACTTTACAACACTTGATGAGTCTAGACACCCGCCCGGAGAGAATGAATCACAGGTCCATTTTGATGAGGAAAGGCCATCAAATAGTGTGGGGTACTTCATTCACTCACACTGCAGTATGCTAGGTGCTGAGGTGCCAGAAATGAAGATCGGTGGAAACAGAGTGGCTTCCCAAGCAGTGGGAATAGCATGAGCGAAGATGTGAGGGGTGGAAAGGGGAGTACAGTTCCTGTAGCTACAGTGGAGTGTGTGGGTGGGTGGTAAGAGAGCAATAAGAAGGGCCTTCTTAGAACTCCGTTTTTCATTAAAGTGAAAGCTTTCATTAAACTTAAGCACAGAAGTTATTTGAGAATTGCCTTTTAGAAAAAAATAGTTATAAAGATTATGCTGGAAATGTTAGGGAGAATAAGTCAGAAGGGTAACAAGGAGAATGAGGGGGAGCAGTTAGGGAGGCTGTAACACTAGTTGAAGCAAAAAGTGCAAAGGACTCTAATTGAGAGAGGTAGAGTGTTTGCAGTGAGCCTGTGGGCAGCCAGAGGGGGCCTTGTAAAGGATGGGATTGGCACCATACAGTGAAGAGATTCTGAAAAACAGCACAGAGAATACCCAAGAATTCTTTCATGTTCTTTATGATGTTATCTGCGCTGTCCTAGCCTCAAGGGCAACATTCAGAAGGGAAGTAATATGGGCTCTGGTTGCCAAGAGAGAGAGGCACCGAGTAGTTGAAGGACATGAGATATTTTATGGTAATCTTTTTTTGCTTTGAGCCACATGTTACCTGGTCACAAAACTAAATGCTAATAGTGGTTCCTATCCTCATGAAATACATGGCGTTACTGAGGAGGCAGGACCTCCACATCACACTACATAAAGCTGAAATGAAAGGCAGTTCAAAGAGAGTGACATAGACAATAAGTACAAGAGTTAAAAAAGAGAAAGGTTGATGAGAGTAAAATTCAGCTAATGTATATTGTACCACAAAATCCCAAGTACACACTCTGTAACCAACTGTTTTAGTACAATCAGGGAAACCATACATCGTATTCCTGCTGGAACATTTGGATTATCTGAATCTTAAAAGCTAGTAAAGTAGTTTAGTATATAAATTTGACAGACTTGGCAAAGCTCTTTCACATTAGAGGCCACAAGGTGGCAATATTCACTGAATTTCTTCTTCTTTTTTTTTTTTTTTAAGATTATTTTATTTGAAAGTCAGAGTTACACAGAGAGAGGAAAGGCAGAGAGAAAGAGAGATCTTCCATCCAATGGTTCACTCACCAGTTGGCCGCAACGGCTGGAGCTGCGCCTATCCGAAGCCAGGAGCCAGGAGCTTCTTCCAGGTCTCCCACTCGGGTGCAGGGGTCCAAGGACTTGGGCCATTCTCTGCTGCTTTCCCAGACCATAGCAGAGAGCTGGATTGGAAGTGGAGCAGCCCAGTCTTGAACTGGCTCCCATATGGGATGCCGGTGCTTCAGGCCAGGGCATTAACCTGTTGTGCCACAGCAGCGCCAGCCCCAATATTCACTGAATTTCAACCAGTCTCTTACTAATCATAATTGTAAGACTATAAAACATTTTTTAAAAAAGATTCATTTATTAGAGAGAGAGAGAGAGAGAGAGAGAGAGAGACAGAAAGAGGTACCGATCTTCCATCCACTAATTTACTCCCACATCAGCCAGGCTAAGGCAGGCTGAAACTGGGAGCCAGGAACTCCATCCTGGTCTTCTAAGAGGGTGACAGGAGCCCTCATACTTGGACCATAATCTGCTGCCTCCCAGGCATGTTAGCAGGAAGCTAGATTGGAAGCACAAAGTAGCTGGGACTCAAACCAAGCACTTGGATATGGGACATTGGTGTCTTAATCACTAGATTGAACATCCACACCTATTGGGCTATATTTTTTAAAAGCATATTCTAGTATTATGATATATGGCCAACTTGCAAGAGAGCTCTTTCTATTTTATCTGTTAATAAATCGAACATTTCCCTGTCAGAAAAACTGGGCTAAATGAAATGACCAAATTGCAGTAAATAATGTATCACTCCATAAGCCTTCTGAATCAGGTTAGTGGTATGGCAGGTTAAGCTGCCATTTGGGATGACCGCATCCCTTACCAGAATGCTGTTCAAGCCCCTGGCTCAGGCTTCTGACTCCAGCCTCCTGCTAATACAGACTGTAGGACAGAGCAGTGATGATTCAGATAGTTGAGTCCATGCTTCCAATTTGGGAGACCCGGATGTAGTTCCTGACTCATGGCTTCAGCCTGGCTCAGTCCCAGCTACTGTGGGCATTTGGGGAATGATGAGAAATCTCTCCTATTTTTCTTTCTTCTTCTCTTTTCTTCTTTCCTCTCTTCTAAAATAAATAAGTAAATATTTTAAAAAGCATAATGCATATGACTCAGTATATTGTTTGTAGAGTTGAATTTTTCCCTGTAGAAATAAGATCCTGCTTTAGTCAGTCTACTTATAATAGAACTTAAAAAGTTTAAAAAATCTGATTCTGTATTGTGTGCCCAGTTTATACATGAATGTATATTTGTGATTTGTGCATACTGTTTATGACTAGTGGGGTATTTTGCATCTGAACAATTTCAGGTAAGTTACTAGAAGAGCAGGAAGAGTGAATCATGCAACAGTACATGATAAAGGAAATTAAGACTGGAGCTCTGATTGAAAGACAGAAATGACACAGGGAATGTGCCAAGCCAGGAGAATTATCAGAAATTGACATGAAAGATACACAAGAATGTAGTGGGCATTTAGCCTAGAAGTTAGGATACCGATTGGAACACTGATGGCCCACCTGGGAGTTCCTAGCTCCAGCTCCTGACTCTTGCTTCCTGCTGATGTGGACAGTAGGGGCAGTGCTGATAGCTCAAGAAGTTTGATCCCTGCCTCCCATATGGGAGACCCATGTGGATTTTCTGGCTCCCTGCTTTAGACCAAGCTCAATCCCAGCCACTGAAGGTATTTGGGGGAGTAAACCACTGGATAACACACACACTCTCTCTCTCTCAAAAATAAATAAATAAATAAATAAATAAATAAGAAAATAAGTAAATTTGTAAAAGATACGCAAGCAGTGGTAAAGTCTGGAGCCAGTACAACCCAATGAAGTGGTCTGGAACTAGGGAATACTAGTCTGGTGTAGAAACCAGACTAGCAAGTAGTAAACAGACTTATGGGAAATGAAAGCAATGAAAAATTTAGTTTGAACAGAGGAAATATAAGAATGTATTCATTCAGGTCCTAAAGAGAAGAGTAATTTATTAGCAAGATGAATGTGACTCAGGAAGCAGGGAAGGTCCTGGTCTCATTCCCTTTTGTAAATAGCAGGATAACCAGTTTTCTAAACTTAGAGTAAGGATGGGTTTCCAGAAGTTTATATTATAAATGCTGCACATGGCAGGTGAATTCCCAATTACCTGGAAAATGTTTGATTTATGTCATATATTGAACATTTTGAAAGTTTTAAAATAACACCTAAGGTTTACTTTTTAGGAATCTGAGAATCGGCAAATGATGGACCAACTTCGAAAAGCCAATGAAGATGCTGAAAGCTGGGAAAATAAGTCCCGTCAATTAGAGGCGGACAACAATACCCTTAAGTTGGAACTTATCACTGCTGAGGCAGAGGGTAACAGATTAAAAGAAAAAGTAGATTCCCTCAACAGAGAAGTTGAGCAAGTAAGTCTGGGAAAATATATGTATAATGCATCCTGTATCGTATTAAGAAGTTTTGTTGATCTTCCAAAAATGAAATATATAAACAGGCAATTAAATTATTTAAATATACTGTGATTTATAGCCTATTAATCATTCTTTTTTAACTTTTATTTAATAAATATAAATTTCCAAAGTACTGTTTATGGATTACAATGGCTTCCCCACCCATAACTTCTTTCCCTCCTGCAACCCTCCCATCTCCTGCTCCCTCTCCCATTCCATTCACATCAAGATTCATTTTTAATTATCTTTATATACAGAAGATCAATTTAGCATATATTAAGTAAAGCTTTCAACAGTTTGCACCCACACAGAAACACAAAGTGTAAAATACTGTTTGAGTACTAGTTATAGCATTAAATCACAATGTACAGCTCATTAAGGACAGAGATCCTACATGAGGAGTAAGTGCACAGTGACTCCTGTTGTTGACTTAACAAATTGACACTCTTGTTTATGGCATCAGTAATCACCCTAAGCTCTTGTCATGAGTTACCAAGGCTATGGAAGCCTTTTGAGTTCACCGACTCTGACCTTATTTAGACAAGGTCATAGTCAAAGTGGAAGTTCTCTCCTCCCTTCAGAGAAAGGTATCTCCTTTGATGGCCCATTCTTTCCACTGGGATCTCACTCGTAGAGATCTTTCATTTAGGCCCTTTTTCTTTTTCCCAGAGTGTCTTGGCTTTCCATGCCTAAAATACTCTCATAGGCTCTTCAGCCAGATCTGTATGCCTTAATGGCTGATTCTGAGGCCAGAGTGCTGTTTAGGACATCTGCCATTCTATGAGTCTGCTGTGTATCCCACTTCCCATGTTGGATCATTCTCTCCTTCTTAATTTTATCAGTTAGTATAAGCAGACACTCGTCTTGTTTATGTGATCCCTTTGACTCTTAGACCTATCAGTGTGATCACTTGTGAACTGAAATTGATCACTTGGACTAGTGAGATGGCATTGGTACATGCCACCTTGATGGGATTGAATTGGAATCCCCTGGCACGTTTCTAACTCTACCATTTGGGGCAAGTCAGATTGAGTACGTCCCAAATTGTATATCTCCTCCCTCTCTTATTCCCACTCTTATAAACAGGGATCACTTTTCAGTTAAATTAAAACACCTAAGCATAATTGTGTGTTAATTACAGAGTTCAATCAATAGTATTAAGTAGAACAAAAAATAATAAAAGGGATAAAGTATTAAGTTGTTCATCAACAGTCAGGACAAGGGCTGATCAAGTCACCGTTTCTCATAGTGTCCATTTCACTTCAACAGGTTTCCTTTTTGGTTCTCGGTTAGTTGTCACCAATCAGGGAGAACATATGATATTTGTCCCTTTGGGACTGGCTTATTTCACTCAGCATGATGTGTTCCAGATTCCTCCATTTTGTTGCAAATGACCAGATTTCATTGTTTTTGACTGCTGTATAGTATTCTATAGAGTACATGTCCCATAATTTCTTTATCCAGTCTACTGTTGATGGGCATTTAGGTTGATTCCAGGTCTTAGCTATTGTGAATTGAGCTGCAATAAATATTAAGGTGCAGACACCTTTTTTGTTTGCCAATTAAATTCCAAGGAGTGGGATGGCTGGGTTGTATGGTAGGGTTATATTCAGGTTTCTGAGGAATCTCCAGACTGACTTCCATAGTGGCTTAACCAGTTTGCATTCCCACCAACAGTGGGTTAGTGTCCCTTTTTCCCTACATCCTCGGCCAGCATTTGTTGTTGGTAGATTTCTGTATGTGAGCCATTCTAACAGGGGTGAGGTGAAACCTCATTGTGGTTTTGATTTGCATTTCCCTGATGGCTAGTGATCTTGAACATTTTTTCATGTGTCTGTTGGCCATTTGGATTTCCTCTTTTGAAAAATGTCTGTTGAGGTCCTTGGCCCATCTCTTAAGTGGGTTGTTTGTTTTGATTTTGTGGAGTTTCTTGATCTCTTTGTAGATTCTGGTTATTAATGCTTTATCAGTTGCATAGTTTGCAAATATTTTTTCCCATTCTGTCGGTTGCCTCTTCACTTTCCTGACTGTTTCTTTTGCAGTACCAAAACTTCTCATTTTGATGCAATCCCAATAGTTAATTTTGGCTTTGACTGCCTGTGCTTCTGTGGTCTTTTCCAAGAAGTCTTTGCCGGTGCCTATATCTTGCAGGGTTTCTCCAATGTTCTCTAATAATTTAATGGTGTTGGGTCAGGTTTAGATCTTTAATCCATGTTGAGTGGATTTTGTGTAAGGTGAAAGGTAGGGGTCTTGCTTCATGCTTCTGCACATGGAAATCCAGTTTTCCCAGCACCATTTATTGAATAGACTGTCCTTGCTCCAGGAATTGGTTTTAGATCCTTGATCAAATATAAGTTGGCTGTAGATGTTTGGATTGATTTTTGGTGTTTCTATTCTGTTCCATTGGTTTATCCATCTGTTTCTGTACCAGTACCATGCTGTTTTGATTACAACTGCCCTGTGGTATGTCCTGAAATCTGGTATTGTGATGCCTCCGGCTTTGTTTTTGTTGTACAAAATTGCTTTGGCTATTTGAGGTCTCCTGTGTCTCAATATGAATTTCAGCATCATTTTTTTTCCAGATCTGAGAAGAATGTCTTTGATATTTTGATTGGCATCGCATTGAATCTATAAATTGCTTTTGGGAGAATGGACATTTTGATGATATTAATTCTTCCAATCCATGAGTATGGGAGATTTTTCCATTTTTTGGAATCCTCTTCTACTTCTTTCTTTAAGATTTTGTAATTCTCATCATAGAGATCTTTAACGTCCTTGGTTAAGTTTATTCCAAAGTATTTGATTGTTTTTGTGGCTATTGTGAATGGGATTGATCTTAGAAGTTCTTTCTCAGCCATGGCATTGCCTGTGTATACAAAGGCTGTTGATTTTTGTGCATTCATTTTATATCCTGCTACTTTGCCATACTCTTCTATGAGTTCCAGTAATCTCTTAGTAGAATTCTTTGGATCCCCTAAATAAGGTATCATATCATCTGCAAAGAGGGATAGTTTGACTTCTTCCTTTCCAATTTGTATCCCTTTAATTTCTTTTTCTTGCCTAATGGCTCTGGCTAAAACTTCCAGAACTATATTGAATAGCAGTGGTGAGAGTGGGCATCCCTGTCTGGTACCAGATCTCAGTGGGAATACTTCCAACTTTTCCCCATTCAATAGGATGCTGGCCCTGGGTTTTTCATAAATTGCTTTGATTGTATTGAGGAATGTTCCTTCTGTACCCAGTTTGCTTAGAGTTTTCATCATGAAAGGGTGTTGTATTTTATCAAATGCTTTCTCTGCATCTATTGAGATAATCATATGGTTTTTCTTCTGCAGTTTTGTTAATGTGGTGTATCACATTGATTGATTTGTGAACATTGAATCATCCCTGCATACCAGGGATAAATCCCACTTGGTCTGGGTGGATGATCTTTCTGATGGGTTGTTGCATTCTATTGGCCAGAATTTTATTGAGGATTTTTGCGTCTATGTTCATCAGGGATATTGGTCTGTAATTTTCTTTCTCCAGCTTAGGGATTAAGGTGATGCTGGCTTCATAGAAAGAATTTGGGAGGATTCCCTCTCTTTCGATTGTTCTGAATAGTTTGAGAAGAATTGGAGTTAGTTCTTTAAATGTCTGGTAGAATTCAGCAGTGAATCCATCTGGTCCTGGGCTTTTCTTTGTTGGGAGGGCCTTTATTACTGTTTCAATTTCTGTCTCAGTTATGGGTCTGTTTAGGTTTTCTATGTCTTCATGGTTCAATTTAGGTAGGTTGCATGTGTCCAGGAATCTATTCATTTCTGATAGGTTTCCCTGTTTGCTGGCATACAAGTCCTTGTAGTAATTTCTGATGATTCTTTTTATTTCTGTGGTGTCGTTACGTTTCCTTTTTCATCTCTGATTTTATTGATTTGGGTCTTTTCTTTTTTTAGTTAGTTGGGCCAATGGTGTGTCAATTTTGTTTATTTTTTCAAAAAACCAGCTCTTTGTTTGGCTGATTTTTTGTAATGTTTTTTTGATTCAATCCTGTTGATTTCTCCTCTGATTTTAATTATTTCTCTTCTCCTACTAGATTTGGGTCTAGTTTGCTGCAGTTTTTCTAGAACCTTGAGATGCATTGAAAGCTCATTTATTTGGTGCCTTTCCAATTTCTTGATGTAGGCACCTATTGCTATCAACTTTCCTCTTAACACTGCTTTTGCTGTATCCCATAAGTTTTGATATGTTGTGTTGTTATCCTCATTTACTTCCAGAAAATTTTTGATTTCTCTTTTGATTTCTTCTATGACCCAGTGTTCATTCAGGAGCATGTTGTTCAGCCTCCATGTGTTTGCATATGCTCTAGGGATTCATGAGTTGTTAATTTCCAGCTTCATTCCACTGTGCACTGAGAAGCTGCATGGTATGATGCTAATTCTTTTGAATTTGCTGAGACTTGCTTTATGGCCTAGTGTGTGGTCAATCCTAGAGTAGGTTCCATGCACTGCTGAGAAGAATGTAAAATCTTTAGAGGTAGGATTGAAAGTTCTGTAGATATCTGTTAGATACATTTGGGCTATAGTGTTGATTAAATCTGCTGTTTCCTTGTTGATCTTCTGTCCGGTTGATCTGTTTCTGAGAGTGGAGTATTGAAGTCCCCCAGTACTATTGTATTGGAGTCTAAGTCTCCCTTTAAGTCCCTTAACATATCTTTTAAATAAACCGGTGCCCTGTAATTAGGTGCATATACATTTATAATAGTTACAACTTCCTGTTGAATTGATCCTTTAATAATTTTATAGTGCCCCCTTTGTCTCTCTTAACAGTTTTTGTGTTAAAGTTTATTTTGTCTGATATTAATATGGCTACACCAGCTTTTTTTTGGTTTCTGTTGGCATGGAATATCTTTTTCCAACGTTTCACATTCAGTCTGCATGCATCTTTGTTGGAAAGATGTGTTTCTTGTAAGGAGCAAATAG